GTAGTAGTAGTAGCAGCAGCGAAGCAGAAGAAGAAGATGGAGGAGGAGGAGGAGGAGGAGATGGAGGAGGAGGAGGAAACATGTCGCCCGCTCTCGCACGGCCCCGCTGCCGCTTTCGTGCGAATCTGCGAGCGAAGCATACGCCGTGCGCAGGCGGGAACGCCACGCCCAGGCGATCTCTGCACGGGGCCCGGGCGCGGGCGACACGTCGCCCAGCGCGCCTGCGGCCCCGCCCCCGAACGATTGCGCGATACGGAATGTGCGCCACGCCGAGGCCTTGGCATCGCTCGGACGTGTGCATTTTTTCTTCGGCGGGGACCATCGAGGAGCATCCTTGATCATGTGGTGAAAAAACCACGCACGAAACCGAAAAAAACACAGGGACTGGACATCCGAGCGATGGCCAGAGGCAGGCGCGCCATGCTCAGGCGAAGTCAGCGCGACCATGGCCTTCGACAACCGGCGAGCCGAAGACGCGCGCCACGCCCAAGCGGGAGCTCAGCTCCCGGGAGAGCTGCAGCGCACGCCGAGGCGAGGGCGACATGGCGCTATTTCGCGCAGGAGGTTCGATGGTTATTTTGTATCTCCGGGGTGCCTCCCTCCCGGCGCTCCTCCCCCCGATCCTCCAGGTAACCCCTCCCACGAGCCCGGGCAGCCCGACGGCAAGCATACGGCATGCCAGTAGTCGGCGGCCAGCGAGGGGGGGAAGTGAGAAAGAGAAGGCCTTCTCAGAAGGTTCGGAAGTCCCCCGGCCTTCTGAGAGAAGTTTTAGAAGCCTCCCCGAAGACAAAAAATATTCTCAGAAGGCGCGAGGGCTTCTGAGACGTCCTGTTCGATGCTCGTCGGTGTAGATGCATGCGTCGGCGGCACGGCAGAATGCTCGCCCATGGTGTCCAAAGATGCACCACGGTATTTGGCTTGGCTCCTGCAATCCTCGCTCCAGCGAGGCGAGCGGGGACACATATGTTTGTGTAGGATACGCATAGATACGCATAGCTACGGATGCCTGCGACGGCGGCACGGCCAACTGCTCGTTCATGGTGGCCAAAGGTGCACTACGATCGTTTGGCCTGGCCTGTCTAGCTCTCGCTCCAGCGAGGTGGGCATGGACACACAGGTGGGTAGGAGGCTCAGTTCCACGGCGAGGGAGAACGTCTAGCAGTAGGGATTCGTCGCTTCTCCGCAATCCTGGCCAAGGCATTGCTAGTACGGGCGCTCGTTCGGGATCGCAAGGTGCATACCACCAGCTCGCCCAACGCACCGCAAGCATTCCCGCCTTTCCGTCCCCCTTTCGGGGACGTGGATGTGCACGGGGTGCAGACCGCAAGCTCGCCTGCTCCTGCGCGCCGCTCCTGCTGCAAGGGCCGATGCTGGCGTCGAGCCCCCGCAGATGCCGATGCTGCCGACGGTACTGTCGACGCCGCTGCCGTTGCCGCTGCCGCTGCCGCCGGCGCAGCCCGAGGAGCTCCTGCGCACCAAGTCGGCCCTCGCTGCGGCGGCGGGCTCGGCGCGTCCCGGGCCGCCGCCGAGGCTGCCAGTTGGAAGCGGGTGGTGGCCAGCGGACGCGTTGTTCGGGCGGGGGGTCGTTTTGGGGCCCTGTGGGGTGCACGACAGGTGCGCCTTTCTTGACCCCCCACTTCGCCCCCCGTCGCGCCACGCCCGATGCTGTCGGCTTTCGGCACCTCCGGGGGGCCGCGCCGGGGCCGACAGGAGGAACAGTCGGGGGCGAGAGAAGGACGGCCCCCGGTGAGGAGAAGGGTAGGGGGAGGATGGATAGGGGCACAAAAAGTGGCATAAGCATAAAAACTCGGAGCTCCGCGCGGAGTTCTCGGATCGGCGCTGGGGCCCCCCGGCGGCGCCTCCGGCGCCGTCCCTGGCGCGCTCCGCGCGCCAGGGAGGGGGGTCCAGCGCCGATCCGAGAAATCCGCGCGGACCTCCGAGTTTTTATGTTTATGTTACTCTTTGTTCCCCTAATTGAACGGGGGGAGGGGGAGGGGGCGAAGGAGAAGGGTAGGAGAGACGGAAGGGGGGGAGGAGAGCAAGGGGATTGGGGCAAGCAAGCTAGGTGCGCTCGCGCCACAGCCGACATCCCGCCCTTCCCACCCAGCCTTTCCCACTGCGTTGGACACCCTGCTCTGTCCGCCGACTGGGGTGCTGGAGAACCTTGATCCCCGAATAGCAGTCGTAGCAGTGGATCCATTCTTTCCTGCGTGATCCCGTGGGGGACGCTGATACATTGGAGGAGGAGGAGGAAGAGAAGAGAAGAGAAGAGAAGAGAAGAGAAGAGAAGAGAAGAGAAGAGAAGAGAAGAGAAGAGAAGAGAAGAGAAGAGAAGGCGGATGAGCAGGAAGAAGAGGAGGACGAGGAAGGGGTAGGAGATAATATGTTTGAGCTCGATTATCTTGCTGCACAACGGTTACAGCAGACATGCCCTGAACTCCACATGAAACACGCCGTTAAACCACTGTAGAAACATGAGAGTTCAACAATGACAAACGTGTCAAGGTCGGCGGTGGCCCCTGCCTTTTTTCAGCATTGGGATGAAGCCCCGACCACCGATTGTTGTGCGAGACAATTGTGTGGGGATTACATGGCAGATGCTGACAAGAAGAGCCAGGCTCGCGAGCTCAAGGAAGCTGGCTCAAAGATGGCTCAAGTGGCGCAAGGCCACAGACCATAGACCCAGGCGGTCACCGCTCGCTGCTCCTGGTCCGCCCCAGGCGTCGACCTGCCTCCTGGTATGCCCCAGGCGAGCAGAGCTTTATTTTCTCAGTGCACCTGGTCCGCCCTAGGTTGCACTCTGCCTCCTGGTCCGCCCCAGGGGTGGAGCTTTTTCCAATGCCAGGAATCATGGCCGGCATGGGCAAGAAGGACAGCTACGTGGGCGACGAGGCCCACAGCAAGCGCGTTGTCCTGAACCTGAAACCCCATCCAGCATGGTATCGTGACCATCTGGCACCGTACCTTCTACAACGAGGTCCGCGTAGCTCCAGAGGAATATCCCCTGCTCCTCACGGAGGCGCCCCTGGAGCCGAAGGCGAATCGCGAGCGCATGACGCAGATCATGCTCGAGACGTTCAACTTGCCGGCGATGTACGTCGCGATCCAGGCAGTGATTTCGCTGTACGCTTCTGACTGGCGATGGCGCGTCGCACACCGTACCCATATCTATATATATATATATGTACAAGGGCTACGCGCTACCGCATGCGATCTTGTACCTGGATATGGCGGGGTGGGACCCTACGGAGCTTTCGATGGAAAGAGCGTGGCTACTCCTTGATCACCACGGCTGCTCGGAAGATCGTGCGGACGTCAAGGAACACCTTGTTGCATCCCGCTCAACGTCGATGCTGAGAGGAAGGCCGCCACTGAGATAAGGAGAACGCACGAGCTCTCCGACGGGAACAGCATAGCCATGGGCAGCGAGCGGGCAGCGAGCGCTCCCGCTGCCCAGAGGTGCTCTGTCATCCCAGGTTCGTGGGCAAGAAGGTCAGCGAAATCCACGACACCACGTTCCAGTCGACCATCGATCATGACATGCAATGTCGATATCCGCAAGGACCTGGGCGCCAACGTGGTGCTGCCCGGCGGCACCACAACGTTCCCAGGCATCGGCGAACGCATGACCAAGAGATTGACGGCACTGGTTCTTTCCGCATTGAAGACCAAGGTCGTGGCTCCGCCCCGGCGCAAGATAAAGTTCAAGATCAAGATGGCACTGGTTCTTTCCGCATTGAAGATCAAGATCAAGATCAAGTACTCAATGTGGATCGGTGCATTTATGTTTCCTTCGAAGAGCACCTTCCTGCAGATGTGGAGTTCCAAAGGGGGATACGATAAGTCGCGGCCCACCATTGTGCACAGGCAGTGTTTCTGAGGACTTTCCCACGGCAGAGTTCGGGAGCCAGGCAAGCTAGAGTCACCCGACGCGTTGGATGTAGGTTGCGAACTTGCCTCACGCCCCAATGTTCACAAGCGGCGCTGGCAGTGATAACTCGCAGTGGCGCGTTGGCGTTCTGAAGTGCGTCATGACAGCTGTTTATGCCTCTGGCATGTGAAGCTGATTTCCGAGATGCGCATGCGCAGGCCGTATTCTGGGTTCGCAGCCCCGCTTTGTTGCAGTCTGCCAGGGGTGGCCTCCACCTGGACGGCTCCTCAATGGCATGCCATTGGCGGCTTCTGCAATACAGTTTGCATATGCCTTATCAGACTTCACTTGCTCCGCCCCTACCGCTTCGCCCGCTTCCTGCTTCCTCCCCTCTTCCCTTAAGTCGGGCCTGTCCACCTACAGGAGGAATACTCAAGAGTAGTCGAAAAAAATAGGCTGGGGACGATCTGTTGGGGGCATTCTCTGGCAAATGTTGGAGCATCTTTCGACGACTCCATATCTGTCGTCCAAAATCCCCCCGCAGGAGGACAGGCCCTTCTTTGGCAATGTCCGAGCATCTTTCGACGACTCCATATATCTGTCGTCCAAGAATCCCCCCGCAGGAGGACAGGCCCGACTCGACTCTTCCCCCCTCTCTGCCCCGCTCCTCCCCGCTCCTCCCCGCTCTTCCCCGCTCTTCCCCTCTCTGCTCCCCTCCCCCCCTCCCTGCCCGCACGTGCTCTGCCGGCGCCCCCGCGGGGCCGCCGCCGCGCCCGCTCGCGCAGAGGAGCCCGCGTCTGCCCAGGCCTGCCCCGGCCCGCGGCGCGCCTGCGGCGTCGCGGGGGGCTCTCGTCCTTGCCTCCCCCCTCTGCCCCCCTCCCCCTCCCTTGCCTCCCCCTCGTCCTCTCCCCCCCCCCTCCCCATCCTCCCCCTCCTCCCTCTCCCCCTCCTCCTCCCTTGCCTCCCCTCTCCTCCCTCTCCCCCCCCTCCCCCCCCCTCCGCTCCAAACAATTACTCAATATGAATACTACTCTCCCTCTTCCCCTGATGGCGTCCTGGGAATATTCGACCTCCCCCCGCGTACTGCTTTTTTACACACAGGATTCCCGGGAGTTGGGTTTTCGCCTGCGTTTTTTTTCAAAATGCTGCTCTCGCTGAGGCGCCGGCCTCATTTCTGCTCCCGAATCGTCCCGAATTGTGCTCCCGCTGCAGCGTGGGCCTCATTTTCGGATCGGTGTTTTGCCTCCGTCGTTCAGGATGGCGTTCTCGCCCCAGCGCGGGCCTCTTTCTCGCGCGCCCATCCGCCCGCCACCACCGCGCCGCACCACGCCCCGCCCCGCCGCACGCACACCCACCGCCACTTCCACCCACCAACGCACGCACGCACGCACGAGCACCACCACCGCGCACCGCCACCACCACCGCACTACCCCACCCACCACCACCACGCTACACCGCGTCACACCACATCACACGCGCGCACACACAGACACACACGCACGCACGCACGCACGCACGCACGCACACATACACACGCACACACACACACACACGCACACACACACACACACACACACACACACCACCACCGCCACCACCACCACCACCACCGCCATCACGCACGTACGCACCTGGCCCACCACCAAACCACCAAGACGCCACACCACGTCACACCACAGCACACGCGCACATACGCACACACACACACACACACACACACACACACATACACACACCATCACCACAACAACCACAACCACGCACACACGCACGCACGCACGCGCACCACCACCCACTACGCACACGCGCGCGGAGCCACAGGTCCGCTACGACACGCGTCCGAGGATAGAGAAAATCAGCGCCATGGTGAGGGATGGGAGGGGGGGGTAGGATGTCAGATGTAGACGCGAGCGCACCTAGCTTGCCCCCCCCCCGCTCCCCCTCTCCCCCTCCTCCCTCCTCCCCCCCCTCCCTCTCCCCTCCCCCTCTCCCCCTCTCCCCCTCTCCCCCTCCTCCCTCTCCCCCCCCCCCCCCCCCCCTCCCTCCTCCCCTCCTCCCTCCTCCCCCCATCCTCCCCTCCCTCCTCCCCTCTCCCCCCCCCTCCCTCCCTCTCCCCTCCTCCCTCTCCCTTGCCCTCCCCTCCTCCCTCCCCCCCCCCTCCCCATCCTCCCTTCTCCTCCTCGTGGCTGCGGGGCGAGGCGTTCGGCCTCCGGGGGCGGCCGCCGCGCCAGAGCGTTGGCGCCGCACCGTCCGCGCAGGTCGTGCGTGGAGGCCTGTAGGTCGCGCCAGCTTCGGAGCGGCCGGCCACCCTCTCCCACAGCGTCCTTAAGGCTCACTGCATTGATCCGATGGGCTACATGCCCATTTGCAGCCTCACTCTGTCGCGCAGGGTCTAGGCTCTTGACCGTGCACCGTCACCCGGAAGACCTCCAGAATGTGTCCTGGCGCCCTGGTCTCCTCCTCCCTCTCCTCTCCTTCCTCCTCCCTGCTTCTCTCCCTTCGCAAAAATCGTTCGCTGCGCCCCACCGTGTGGCCGTGGTGCGTGGACGTGGCGGGCCTCGGCTCCCGCCCGCCCTGCCCTTCCTGCCCGAGCGGCTTGGGGATGTTGTGTTGTTTCCCTCTTCGTGCGCGCGTGGCTGTGCTTGTGCAGCTTGTGGTCGACGCAAGCCGCCGCTCGGCCGCATCAGGCATCTCGTTTCTTTCTCGCTGTCTTCCGCCCCATTGCGCTCCTTCCTTCTCGCTGTCTCCCCTCGTTCCGCATGCGGCACGCGCGCTCATCCCTCAGGCCACGGTCCATCGCACGTGCTTGCCCATCGCAGGTCGGATCGCGTGGTGCTCCCAGTTTGCCTAGCGACCTTTTGATTCGCACAGCGGCCGAGGCCGAGTCGGGGGAAGCGTAGTGCTCGCGCCCCCTCCTCCTTTTCGACAAAATGCGGATGAAAGAGCCATCGAGCACGACGCGGCGATGGCCGAGGCCACGGAGAGAGCCGTGGGCTGGACGCGCAGGACAGCAGAGCGCGGCCCTCCCTGCGGCTCCTCCGAAGGGCGTTCGGTCCTGCCCCTGAGACACGGCGAGCACTGCCAGCAGTGCCCTGGCGCAGCAAGGGGAAGGCGGAGGAGGGGAGATCAGAGGGACGAGACGCGGACGAGGGCGGAACCGGATCCAGAAGCGTGCCCCGCCCCGCGCTGGAGCGAGAGCCCCCGGCCTGAAGCACGGGAGCCAAGCCCGGGTCCTGGGATGTGGCCAGCGCTGCCGCGGGAGCACCGCGTGTGGAGGGGCCGAAGATGAGCCGAGTGAGCAGGCATACGCACGATGCCAATGTCTGAAGCCTCGCGTGTGAAGCATGCGCGGGAGAGGCGTCAGCGCCGCTGCACACCGTCAGGGTGGAGAGGCCGCGTGGCATCTGGTTGCCTTCTGCCCATCACGCCACCGTGCCTGGGTCATGGGCAAGGGCCCTCTTACAGGCTTCTTGGGGTCTCTCTAGGAAGCCTCTCGGGAACAGGCTTGAGGCCTCGGGGGCCGGAGGATGAGGAGAACGACGACGGCGGCGGCGGCGACCGAGGTCGTGAAGGGTGGCCAGCGGGACTGCCAGCAGCTACGCGACGAGTGGCTCACGCGCTGCGCCGTC